TACATTAAAGTCATTATTCCCACAGCCCAAATATGACAATAATACATATATAAGTAAAAATAAAAACAAGATGAAAGAAGGAAAAGAAAAAAAAAAAATTAAAAATCTTCTTGATAGTTTCAGTTCAGCCTAATCTTATCACTAATTCTTGAACCAAATTATGTGATTTTGGTTATGATCCAAGAACTTGATTCATTTGTTCTCCTTTATAATCATAATATATATATACCCTTAAATAATAAATATAACAAACAAATAACTGAAAAGAATACCCAATCAATCCCTCCATCCAAACAGAGTCAATCAATCAAATCCCAGATTCAGGCCACCATTTGCTCCTGCTCCATCATATACATTTGCTCAACCCATTGAGCCGCCGCGTTCAATGACACATCCTTCACCAGCGAATTAACCCACGAAACATCCGGCCCATCGGCCTCTAATGGGCCCACCGGCATTGCCGCCGCCGCCGCCACTGGCTCACTCCGAATCCCGAAAGACGCAGACTTTCTCAGCTTGTTCGCCTCCTCCCCACTAAACCCCCAGTCGAGCCTCCCGTCCGGCGAACCCCAGCCCGACGAAATCACGGGCGCAACCGGGCCGGGCGACATCCCCCTCGACCCAGCCCGATCAATGAAGCTCTGGCTCCGTTGTTTTGCAAACGCCGCTGACCTCGAGCCCATCACCGCCGCTGCCACAGCTGCAGACGAGTCGAACCCGTATCCTGAGCCGGCCTTCCTCACACTTGAGGGGTAGCTCGAACGAATGTGGGCCCCACTGCTTATCTTGGGTGAGAGCCCTTGCAAATGGGACATCAACGAGGCATCGGGAGACCCGATTCCTCCGAACATGCTCTCGAGGCTCGTTGGCTTGAAGTCGAGCTCGAGGTCTCGTGCGCTGACAGCTGTCCTCAACCGGCTGCTGCCCGACAGATGCAGGGGAGGAGGAGTGGTGAGGCGGGCCATGGGAGACGAGCAGGTGACAGAGGGCGAGATGGGCGGGCTCACCTGGCCCGATGAGGGAGACGGGAGGCCTGACCCGGTTGAGGCATACAGCGGGCGGAGCTCTTCAGGCCTGTGGGCAAAGAAGCAGACCCTTCGGGAGCAGCCCGTCTCGTCTTTACAGAGTCGGGTTCGGTATTGGGCTGGGTGGAGCCACGACTCGAACACGCCGTGCGCGTATTCACAGCCGTCCCCTTTGGGGCAACCGCCTTTCTTGAACTCGGGGCATGGGACGGGCGTGTAGCCGTGCCTTCGTGGGTCCCGCCGCCTCGCGTTCTCCCCCGGGTGGGCAAACGGGCACTCGGTCCAGTCGTGGGAGTAGGCTCGGGAGCAAGGCCGAACTTTAAAGCTGTACATTCGGAACTCGTCTGTAATGTAAACCCCCTCGTTGATGTCCGGCAGCAGAAGAATCTCCCTCCTTTCGGGCCCGGAACGGGCCTCTTCATCCTCCCGAGTCCCACCGAGG